CACACACACACACACACACACACACAAAGTTGTTATAAATTAATTATTTAATTAATTTATCAATTATCCTAATGTTACATGTAATGCTAGTATAGAATTATTAACTCAAGCCATAATATTTTTATTTGGCAAACAGTGACGAACTGCCAGTGCAATTGATTTTACCGAAAGCGATGCGAGAAGCGAAAAATAGGCAGCAATTGTCGTCGCTGGCGTTGCTGGGCCAAGAGTTTTGGCGATATCCAATGGCGAATCCGAAGCCACCGGAAAGCAGCAGCAGCAATACTTCTAGTCTGAGCAGTTTCCATGGGGGTGAGTGTTTCTTAATATTTTCTTCGCGTAAATAATTTTAAAATAAATTATAGATATAAGTAAATAAATTTAACGAGACAAAAAAATTACAAATTAATTTAAAATTACAAATTACAAATTACAAAATAATTTTCTGATAATTATGATTTTTAAAAGGCTTATTATAAAATAAATGCTTATTACTTTTATTTATTTATTACATTTGTGTTAGAGACTTATATTCAAAGTTTAATAACTTACATAGCTAAACAAAAATAATTAACAGATATATTTATAGAAAAATCTTTTTTTGCAGGTAACAATAACCACCACATTAACAATAATAATAACATGGATAATACGCCAATCACGGAGAGTATAGTGCTTAATCTGGCCCCAATATCATCCTACAATACACGTAAGACATTAATATTCTATTTTTTATTTTCACAACACATTTTCTTGTTCATTATGTTAGTGATTTTTACTAAAATATTTATTTTTTAATCGGAATTATATGGCTCACTGTCAGTCCTTTCCTAATAGGTTTTTTATCTGAAATTTTTTTAAAGTAGATTATTACTTTTTTTTAATTCTAAATTTAGCATTGTCTCCCACTTATATTTGAAGTTATCATAGTTTCTGAAAATCAGAGTCAAGACAATATCCTTCAAAAAATAATCCCAAAATTGTCTAAAAAATAATCTATTGTTTAAATTTATATTTGTGTGCAGACACTCCCTCTCCGACAAATACCGTTAACGCGAACACCTCAACTTTTGCGTCGTCGTTGCCGCGTCAGCCACGTCCAACTCCGCCGAACACTCTCAATCTGACAACTTTTAACGAACCTCTGAATGATACCAAAAGGGACCGGATCTCGTCACCGACTGACAAACTCTCTCACAAACTGATCTCGCCGAATCTCGTGCAAAGCGTGCGATGTCCCTCGCCGGTGGTCCACAACGTGGAAAACAACGTTTTGAGTCCTGTTCAGGATATGAGAAATTTCGACGCTCTAAAGAATAGTCTGTATACGCCAAAATTAACGACGATCGAGTTTACCAAGAGCTCGGGGAAGTTCGCGTCCGTCTCGAGTTTCCATCAGAACAACCTGTCGTACACCACGTCTCCAGAATTGCCGGATAATAGGAATATCATCGCTGAAAATCAAGGAACTAGGCAAAGTGTGAAGACGCCGCCACCGCCGCCGCCAAGATGGGCCAAGCCCGGCATCAATCAGAATCAGAATAATTTTACTGTGACTACGACGGTGACGTTTAACGTGAACCAAGGCAACGTGAATACTTCACAGGTAAAATTGAAAAAAGTGTTGTTTTTCAAACTTTTATAATTACAAAAATAATTTTTAATAAATTTTAAATTTACATAATTATAATATAATATTTATAAAAATATAATAAATTTTTATAATACACGTAATATTTTTTATGTTTATTTATATTATTATTTTATTTTATATTTTATAATAAATTTTGAGTTTTTAATGTAATTAATTTTCTTATTATTCTAACTTTATAGACACATCTATTTTATAACGCATCATGTCTTATGTTGATTATTGTTATTGTTATGTGAAGTAATTTAATTAATAACTAAAAAATTACAAATCATTTCTCTTTGCTGCCATTGAAATAATTACAACCTCCTTTCTCTCTGTTTGCCAACAGCAAAACACACCGTCGGATCCTAGTACATCGCTGCTGAGTCCTCAATCTACTAAATCTTTCAATTCCAACTTTTCCATCAAATCGCCTCTTTCGCCCACCACTCCGATTGTATCCCCCACGTCAAAGCTGATCCCAAAGACACCCAACGTGCTCTCCCCAAATACTCCTTCTAGCACCAGTAAATCAAAAAGGCGGCGCGATCGCGAGAAAAACTCACGGAAAAACTCCCAACACTATCAGGAATCGGACATCTTGGAATCGTATTATCGCAGCTCGCCGGCCGATAAAATTTCCGATTACGAAGACATCTGGAACACGACTGACCAATCGACACAGTCGACCTGGAACGAAGGGTTGAAAGATAACAGGGTCACCTGCACTCTGCAAGATTGCGCGAGAAATTCTAATGACCGTCTGATGAGTCCCAGAGAATCCGAAAAGAGTCTTGTCAATGAAAGATCGCCAGCGGGAGAACAGATGGCTCTGAAGAACGACAGGTTTATTCCAAAAAACGACAAAATGCAATACAAAGAAATGATGAGTCCGGAATTTAGTAGTTTTAAGCCTGTTCCGGAGATGAAGAGTCCTGACCAGAGCTCGCCGGAGGAGACTGGTATGGGGAAGAGGCCCGATCTGCTATCTAGAGTTTGTAAGGGTTTATTAGATTGTTATATAAAAAACTATTCTATAAAACAGTAACTTAATATTAAAGTTAAGAAAAAGAGCTTATAATCACACAGAAATATAAATGTTATTAATTGGAGATTATTTTATAATTAAAGATTATTAAAACAATTAGAAATTTATTTTAATTTTTTAATTATAATATTCTTGTAACTTTATTAATAAAAAAAATAACAGATATTGTGAAAATAACGAATATTATATTGAATATAAAGTTAATGTTTCTTTTGATCATTAGTTTCTAATTTATAGTGATTTCTACTTTCTTTTTTTTATTATTAAATTTTTTAAGATTAAAATTAAAAAAGAGTCTTTAGAGATTTTTCAAAGAGATTTTGAGATTTAGAAATTTTTTTCGTAGGCAGTGCCAACTCGTTGAACAGCCCCAACACGGTGACGCCCCCGAGAAACAAATTGGGCCTTGTTTTGGCGAAGTCGGAGAGCAACAGTCCCCGGACCTCCGAATCTAAACAGAGCAGTCCCTTCTACGCAGAACCGGCCGATGCCATTGTTCAAAATGCCATTATAATCCCGAGAAGACGAGCAACCAAAAATAATCCGGCGTTGAACAAGTACCGACACAGCGAACCAGGTTGGTTACAAACTCCGACGGGGAATGCCAATCAATTGCATCCTATTGATTGCTGGGAAGAGCCCTCCGAAGAGACGGAGGAAAAAACGCCATTAATCTCGTCGTCAGTCGACAACCTAGCGAAAAGATTGGTTCAAGCTAAGGAGACGAAGAAGATTCCTCGGGCGAAGCCCGTTCAACCACCAAAGATCAAGACCAAAGTGTTTAATGACACTTCTTGGGCGGTAGATTCTAGTTGGGAGTTTATCGGTACGTTCTACACATATTGTAGAAAATATAGATTACTCGAAAAATTATTTTTTAAAACATGTTATAAATTACATTAAACACCGGCGATCAAAGGAATAAAATACTATAATTAAATATTTATAAACAATTATATATTTTATTTATTCTATAAAAATGACTTTAATAGTACTTATTTTAGGAAAAATATATAAGGCATTCTTTGCCAAATCGGTCGGTCGCCGACCTTGATTTTGTTCTTAATTTTTTATTTTAATCATGTAACTGAAATAAGTATCTCTGATTTTTTCAAATTTTTATCTCAAGGCGACTGAGATATAGATATTCAAAGTTTTGAAATCCATCTTCTCCAGAAAATATTCAAATAGCTGTAACTTTACTTCTATTTATCGGATCGTTAAAAAATCGGTCATGAAATTAATCGGAAAAAAATGTACTTTTTGAAAAAAAATGCTTCAGAATTGTATGTTTTAGTTTTCACAGTTAATTTTACGTTCAAAAACTAAAAGTTTTGTTTTCAAAATGTATGTTATTCTTTATTTTTATACAAAAATTGTTGCGTCAGTTATCAACATTTTAAGTTTGGTTCAATGATGGGAATCTTTTTTTTCAATTTTGTTAGAATTTTGAAAAATTATAAAAATATTTTTTTCCCGACTTTAGTCTATAATATTGTATATTGCAAACTGTTTGGAAGATATCGTTATTTTGTTTTTTAAATTTATAGATTAGATAAATTATAGTCTAAGATCCCGACCTACATCGACCTTCACCCATCTGTTTTCCTAATAAAAGGTATTTTTTATCAAACCTAATGAATAAACAAACAAATTGCAGATGGGTTGCCTAATTAAATCAGCTCAAGGCTACCCTTAATTAAAAATAATTTAATTAATTTCTTTTTATTTCTACATTCATTTGTATTCTCAAAACATTCAATACCAATCGAAAGTACAAAGAATAAGTAGAAAGGAAAAGTTAGGTTGCCTATCTTTTACTGCTCCCTATTACCGGGTTGCCAGATATAAACAGGTGAGTTGGTATTACTAATTTACACTCATCTGTTTTCTTTAATTAAACTATACAAAAATTAAAGATAATTTTATTGCGAACACAGTGGTATTAGGTTGCCTAAGCAAAATCGATCAAGACTTGCGGTTGCCGCGCTTTAAAATAGTACAGGAAAATTAGGATTTTTCTGCGGAATAAATCGCATGTAGCTAAATTTTTGCATGGACCTTTATTTCGTCGTTAAAAACAATATGTGAAAAGTCCCCATCGATGTGACCCCTGCTAAAAATTTTACAGAGGGTCAAAGGTAAAGAAAAACAGTTTTTCGCGAATATTTCTTTATTCATTAGTCCTACGGCAAAAATAGTTATTACAAAATTTGTAGCTTATAAAATTCTCTACAAAAAATGTTGTATAAGTTTTTTTGTACAAGCAATACTTTTCACGTAATAAATTTTGCAAGATATGCGCTGCGCGGTAAATTTACGGAGCGCGCTGACAGACGTCAAATAAATTGAAGCGTCGCACGCGCGCACTAAAAAGCATTAAAAAGCTGAAAGTTTCTGCTTTTCAACGATTCTTTGATCATTTCTGTACGATGATTCGTTCAAAAGATATGACATTTTTAGTGCGCGCGTGCGACGCTTCAATTTATTTGATGTCTATCAGCGCGCTCCGTAAATGTACCGCGCAGCGCATATCTTGCAAAATTTCACATCGATGGGGACTTTTCACATATTGTTTTTAACGACGAAATAAAGGTCCATGCAAAAATTTAGCTACATGCGAATTATTCCGCAGAAAAATCCTAATTTTCCTGTACTATTTTAAAGCGCGGCAACCGCAAGTCTTGATCGATTTTGCTTAGGCAACCTAATACCACTGTGTTCGCAATAAAATTATCTTTATTTTTTGTATAGTTCAATTAAAGAAAACAGATGAGTGTAAATTAGTAATACCAACTCACCTGTTTATAAGTGGCAACCCGGTAATAGGGAGCAGTAAAAGATAGGCAACCAAACTTTTTCTTTCTACTTATTCTTTGTACTTTCGATTGGTATTGAATGTTTTGAGAAAACAAATAAGTGTAAAAATAAAAAAAAATTAATTAAATTATTTTTAATTAAGGGTAGCCTTGAGCTGATTTAATTAAGCAACCCATCTGCGATTTGTTTGTTTATTCATTAGGTTTGATAAAAAATACCTTTTATTAGAAAAACAGCTGGGTGAAGGTCGATGTAGGTCGGGATCTTGTACTATTAGGTTTGCTGAATGTAGTGTAACAACATAATTTATTACTGTAATGATAAAATAGGATTAATCAATTTTTAGATAAGTGAATAAAAACACTCGTGTAATATGGTTTTATGTGAACGCTTATCGGGATTTACGTTTCTCTTTTTAGTTAGATTTAAGACAATTATTACAAAAAATTTCAAAAATTTTTATAAATCTCTGATACTCTTTTTAGAGTTCGAAAATCGTTTTATTAGTGAAGTACTTGAGAAATAATGCAATGAATTTTTTGAATACTAGGTACACATAATTTACTTTTGCAAATTGAGTTTCAAGTTTACTTTTCACAGTCTCATATCGCTCCTTTAGAGAAAATTTTAAAAAGAAACGTAAATCCCGATAAACGTTTACATAAAACCATTACATGAGTGTTTTTCATTTACTTATCTAAAAATTGATTAATATTTTATCATTACAGTAATAAATAATGTTGTTGTATACTCGCCAGCAAACTTTATTTATTTAATCTATAAATTAAAAAAACAGAATAACGATACTTTCCAAACAATTTACAGTTTATTATAGATTAAAATCGAGAAAGAAAAATTAAAAATTAAAAAAAAAATTAAAAAAAAAAGATTTTTATTATCGGACCGGACTTAAGGTATTCCTTTCATGACACCAAAGTCTTAAGAATTAACTGATTTTTTGGTACGAGAAAGTTAAAATGCATATCTTTACGCCAGAAAAAAAATAAACCACATTACCGAACATATAAAGAAGAATTATGATTTTGAAAATTCGATATTTTATATGTGATGTTATCGAAAAAGTCTATTTTCCACATTTCAATGTAATAATTTGTTTATCAAATATCTTAAGATATTAAATATTAACTGCGCTCCATATTCGCTAAACTCTATACTTTCGATAGTGCCGATAAAAATACAGTCACCGAATATTTAAACAAAATATTTATGTTAAAAGTTGACTTGAAATGTGGTTTATAGATGAATATTTTTAATGGCGACTTTCAAGGAATTATTTGGCAACGCTGCAAGCTGTGCGCTCATGTCACACTTCAGTTCATCACGTACGGTTTATTATCAACTTTTATTTTCACAAATTGTCCCTTATTTTTGCCCACATTACTCCTCACTTTATGTTTCTTATCACTCATTATTATTATAAAATCTCTCTTTGATAAAAAGAAAATGTCACAATATTCTTTGATTAATGAAATTGACACTTACATTGACACTTTTGTTATCAACTTCACATTTTACAATCGGCGCCCTGAAAAGCGCAACGTTGCCATATTGTTCTGATAGTAAAATTTACCAAAAAATAAAAAATTTCTAAATACACATAATATTTTCACTTTTTTATAATTAAACATAATAATCAATTATAACTTGATTTTTTATAAGTTTAATGCAATATACAAGAGTTTGCTGAGGCCCTGCTTAAGCGCCTACAAAATACGTTCCTCCGTGAAAGGAATACCTTAAAATGTTGGTAATTGACGCAAGAATTTTTGTGAATTTTTGTATAAAAATAAAAAATAACATACCTACATTTTAAAAATCGGACTTTTAATTTTTAAATGTAAAATTAACTGTGAAAACTCAAACATAGCATTCTGAAATATTTTTCTTCAAAAAGTACATTTCTTTCCGATTAAATTCTGATTATATGACTAATAATTTTTTAACGATCCGATAAATAGAAGTCAAGTTACAGCTATTTGAACATTTTTCGGAGAAGATGGATTTTAAAACTTTAAATATCTTTATCTCAAATATGACTATTAAGATAAAAATTTAAAAAAAAATCAGGGATACTTATTTCAGTTGATTGTAATAAAAAATTAAGAGCAAAATCGAAAGGGGTCAGGGCCGGCGATTTGGCAGAGTGCCCCATATGTATATCATATTTATATAAAGAGATCTATTTATTAATGGCTAAGCTTGGAGATTAAGAAAAATTTTTAGAACATCAAATATCTGTTAAAAATTTTATTAAAATATTATTCTTAGTATAAAAACTGAAATACTGAATACGCTATAACAATTTTTAATTATATCGGATAGGCAATGAAGCTGAAGAGCCAGATTGCGAACCGGACTATGACTGTGATGCTGATTATGATGGCGACAATGTCGCTAGAAAATTTCCCAGTGACGAGGAATGCAATAGAAACATTCGGAATACCTTGACTGTTCAAAATATCATCTTACAACGGTAAGTTTTCTAACGTGAACGAAATCGCAAATAATTTTATGACAACTTTGTATAAAGACATTAGATACATTTTTGAAAAGATTTTTTTGCATTAAAACTTTACTCTTTCCCGTTATATACCCAATAACAGGTAATTTCTTGTTCAAATCTTAGAAAGCACTTATCGTGTGATTTTAACTCTTTATATCTAAATTATAATATAACGATGAAAGACAAAAATTATCCGATTAAAACTTTTCTAAATAGTTTGCTAAACTAACAAGAAATGTTCATGTGTAATCGAGAATGTTGAACTCAATGTTTCAAATCTTCTTACAGGCACCCGGAACTGCTGAAGCCGCCAGATATGTGTGAGTCGTTATACAGCGACCGGAACTCGTCGTATGACAACGTAGAAAAGCGGAATGTGGAGCGCGAGGATACCCCGGACTCGCGGAAAGATCGCACGTACGATCCTTCAGAGTGGGAAACCATGCTGGATACAGACGCGGAGAGTGATGTGGAAAGAATCAAACGAAACAAGAGTTTTAAGGAACGACTGGATCCTCTCTTGTGTAAGTTTTATCTTTTTTATTCTTAAATTGACTGGGTATAAAAATTTTAAAGAATATATTTAATGTGTGCACTCAGAGAAAAAATCATAGTGATATAGCAACTATATAAGTAACAACTATACAAGATGCATTCATAGAATTATTATTAAATGAACTATATTTTGTAGTTATTGCAATTAAATTGGTTAAAATAATTATTTATTAATTCTCTTAACCATCAATTTAGTTGTAATAACTATACAAAATATTTCATTTAAGTATGTACAATAATTCTATGAATACAACTTGCATAATTGTCACCTATATAGTTGCCATCACTACACTGTTGGAAAATTTGTGTTAAATACAACATAAATCGGATGTCCCAAACGGTCCACTCAAATTCCTGTGTTAATTTAACATAATATGGATGTGTTAAATGGTAACACCGATACTATGTTAAAATATTTCAACAGAAAGGAAATGTAATTCTGATCGTAATTTGAGGTTAATTATGTGTACAATTAACATAACTTTTATATTGAAGTTAAGATTGTAAGATAAAATCAAACACTCTTTTTCTGTAAATTTTTATTCCTACTTCCGTTATAGAGTAAAATCAACATTCTTTTTCTGTATTAACACATTTAATAAATACGTTCAAATTGTGTTACTTTAACATATTTCTTAAATTATTTTAATAATTTTACATTTTTAATTTGTTAAGTTCAACAGCACATGTTAAATCTACACATGTATATATGTTGATTATTTTACACAAAAATTTTAATAAGGACTTTTTTTAACAAAACTACGAAAATTTTCCAACAGTGTATGATTTATTCTCTGAGTGTGTGTATATCCGTGCGTACGCATTAATTTATAAATTATATTTATTTGTGAATAATAGAATAACATTTGTTTACATTAAGTTTAAATGTAATAATTTATATTAAATTACTATGTTTAATAGTAATATTAGTAATTTACATTATTTAAATTATTAATATACATTAACGTAAAGTTTAATAATCTTCAAAGAAAATTTGCCCTTCTTAAGGGGATCCTATAGCGAAGGCCGAACTTCCTCGACGTCGGTAATGTCAACATTTCTAATCCTGTTTTCTATGTTATATATCTATGTCTGTCCTTTTCTAACCAGAGGCATCTGTCTTTGTTCGATTGCTGCGCCATCTCTCGCTACACGCAATACTGCTTATCCTGCCAACCTAAATGTGCTTTTGCCTAATAAAACTTCATTTTACGGAATCTTTTTTTCTAGACGTTGAATCTTAGTTTTATTTACACGATATTGTTCCTACATGTTGTCCCTACGTCGCCTTGGTGTCATTATATGTATATAAACTGCAGTAATTTTGTTATTGTCGTCAGATGACAGTTGTATGTGCCCAAATTAGTAAAATTTTTCATTTTTTTTCGTTCCTGATATGAAATTGTACAACGCGATGTAGATTTTTGTGCGTACTTTAATTCTAGACCAAAAACTTGCAATTCTGTAAAGCCAATTCAAAAATTCCTTAAAATAAAAAAATGTCGGTAACTACTGCCACTATAGGATCCCCTTAAGAGATACTCTTATTCATTATTCCTCGAGACTATCTAAATTATACTCGGTATAATATTGCATCTTTGAATCGTGGAAATGCATTTAGATATAAGAATTGTTATTGTTATTTTGGTATAAAAAAGAAGGGAAAAGAGCGAAGAGATCGAAGAAAAGCGAAATGAATAGAAAACTGAAGAGACAGAAAGTATAACTTAACTATTGCGGTTATACTTAAGGGGATGCTGGAGCCGTCTGTTTTACCGGCATTTTTTGTCGGCACGTAGCGTCGTATTAATTTGACAGAATTAAAAATCCTTCTCCAAAATTGCAGTACATACATTAATGATTCGGGGGAACTCTGATTTTATATAGAAAACGAGAAAAAATTACGGAAGTACAGATTTCCTTATCCTACTTTTACCCCAATATGGCGTCTCGAGTTGCGGCGAGCTGTCAGCTCGTCACAAGATGTATTTCATATAAGAGATATACCATTGGTACGAACGCGAAAACAAGTTCTCTTGAATTGCACAACAAGAAAAACATCGATAAACCCTCCAAATCAAGATTTGGAAGCGTAATATAAAAGTATAATGTCGACGTGCATCGTGCGTATGTGTGCGTGCAATGTAGCGTGCTATCCTTGTCTATGTATATCTTTGTCTATACAAGGACAGATATAGTTCGCCGGTCTTCTTTACCGACGCCGATCGAGTTCGGCTACGGCTCCAGCATCCCCTTAAATAACAATGAGATACCGATGAGATTATCTCGTTATTTACCGATTGTGGCTGATTGATTGGTTGTAAATAAAAGAAGAGCTCGGCATTTCTTGTCGCTAAAATGCAGCAGCGACACCAGCTTCTAGCGTTTCTTCCTGCTACCTTTGACAGTGACGCTCGGTCAGTCGTTAACCGGTCGACCATCTGATCGCAGTGTTTGAAGTGATGGGTATCCTTTGTAGCTGCGCTACGTCGCACTTTCCGCATTTAAAATAAGATGGATACTTAGACGTTGGAGAGAAAAAGAGGAAAGGTGATAAGTACAGCTACAAAGGACAAACTTAATGTCAAGTATCTTCGTGAGTGATGATTGATTGTAAATCTATTAGTGCTTCCTTGACCTTGTTGAACTCGGAGTTGGTTTATGTTTAGCTTTTATTATACAAAGCGTAGAACTTTGCAAAAAATCTGCATTGAAATATTAATACTATTGAAGTCGAGAAGGAAAAGGAAACTTTAATTAAATTTAAAGAATCTTTGGTTTAATCTTGAGCTTTTTCGCGATGTAAGAGTTCTTAAAATTCTTTGAAATATTTGAGATAATTAAATTTTAAACTCAAAATTTTTTAAAGATGGAAGAAAACACTTTATATTTGATTGATTAACTCATACTTTCTTTGATAGTTTATGCCTATTTTCTATTATGTTGCTATCTTTAAAGAATCTTAATTATTTATCCAAGTTTTAGGAATGCTTGGATTTCTTTGGATTATCTGAAAAATACTTTATCTGAACCGATTAAATTCCAGTTCCAGAACCAGAAAAAACTGAAGAAATTGCAGACATTAATTTGTAAAAAAAAAGTTGATTTATGAGAAAAGTTGAGAGCTTTCAAGTGGATCATATCAGAAGGAGATAATCTCATGATGGAGAAAAACAGAGTCCAAAAATCTGTCCTATGCCACGATATTCATCTAATTCTAAGACAGTCTACGATAAAGCTCATAAAAGTGTGTCCACGTGCTAGCAAACGCGACAACAATTGTAATATGATAATTTGTGACGTCCAAAGAAATTTAGAACATACATAACTACATTAGACAAATAACTGTAAACAACAACATTGATGGAGTAAGTTTAAAAGTAAAGCGTAAAATGAAATGGATCGGCACCTTGAAGAAATCATTCGACAAGAGCCTTCTCGCACGCTGACAACTTACATCTAAAAGGAAAGCGCGATATATATGTTCGTTCCACGCTCGCGAGTGCGATAAGAAGTCGTTAAACCCGATAACGATTATTTGTACACGTAATTGCCGTCTTAATCTTTAGCACTGCAGACATTTGTTGTCACAAAAAAGGAAAATTACTTAAATCTCGTGATAGTTGAATGTATTCAAATTATTCCTATTTAGTGTCTTTATTTAATTTATTTTTAATTTACAATTTATTTACTTTGAGTATATCTTATTCGAATTTGCTAAAATGAGATAAATAAATATCACAATACGTATAATTAATGCTGATATTGGTGAATTAAAATTGCTGGAGAAATTCCAAAGGGACTTTTCTGTGATTTTCGCTTTCTATAGCAAATATATTTCTTTAGTTACACAAAGTAGGAATACTTTGAAAAAAGAGAAATAGTATACTAGTTGTACAATATACTATTATGTGGAATATACTGACCTTTTATCTGTCATACAAATCGATAGCACAATTTTAATTGCATTTCACATGGACGAGATGGATGGAGAATGGATGATGATTAATTGTTCGCTGGAGGAGGCTAGTCGCTTGGAAATGGAAATGAAACGCGAACTGAAGTTCTCTGTTAAGAAACTCTTGCAGAGAATTATAAACTGTATCCAACGTTTTCTGAAGATGAGCGTAAACATTTTTGAATGTAATTAATAATTAGCAATAATTAATACAGTTAAATGCGGACTTTGTTGTTTTTAAATATATTTTAAATGTTTGTTTATAAATGTTAAATTTAATTTATAATTTTTGATTGGAAAATGTCTAAATTGATTTTTAGAAATATTTATAATCTTTAATTACCAATTGTTGAAAAAGTAGGTATATCACATTTATTTGGGAGGGTCCCGTTTGCCTACAAAACGATTGCCTACAGGTTCGTTTGCACACACCCATTGCACACAATCCCGATAGCACACATTTCAAATTGCCTACAGAGCGATTGCCTACAGGCATTATTGCG